AATCGGCAGTGGTGAGAACGCAGTCACCACTATGGGATGGCAGGTGCTATAGATGGTGCAGAAAGAACAACCTGCACCGCCCCCTCCCCTCCCACTCCCTCCCACCCCTAACAGCTAGGTACCTACTTATTGTCCGATAGTGCTTACACTAAATGCTACCTAAAGAAGCACTCTTAGTCGTATGCGAAGCTTTTTACGTCTAACAGGATATAGTTATTGTTCAGCACTAATATAGATAAGGTCTTAGCACCTTACTAGTAAGCACTTCTGAACTAGGATTAGCAGAGGATGCAAGCCTTATTTATGCAAAAGATATGTGTTGCTATAGATAGTAGACACGCACCTAGGCCTGTTTAATTTAGTTAATATAAGCAGGTTAATAGAACAAAGGTCTTATATGTCCCATAGAGCGACATAAAATCTTACCTAGCCACTTGCTATAATACTTATCGCGTCTCGTTAGGCACGTTTCTAACTATAAGCTTACAATGTGCAGACTTACATTTAGGCCTCACAGACATCTCTTAATAGCTCCTGATTTCTATAACTAGGTCTTTAAAATAGTCGAACTGCCTAGTTACACTACGGTACAAAATTGTTTACAGTAGAATAGTAACCTAGGAGTTTACTATAGAGGTGTAAACTGCCCTTGTATATACCTATAAATAGGTTTAGAGTAGTAGTTTACTTTTATAGTAGGGGTTTAAATTAAGTATAAAAGTAGTTGTATTTCTATTATATACTATAATACCTAACTAAGACTAAAAGGGGTAGAGAAGCTTAGCTTTACGCTATACGCATATATAATATAATAATAAGTTATAATATTTCTACTAATAGGAGGTAGTAATAGAGGTAGTAGTATATATAACAACTTAGGTAGGTAGGGCATCCAAAAGGTATATAGGAGTACGCGTCTATATAGAAAAGGATAAGATTCCTATACCTATAGGTCTTATATAAAAGGATAAGAAGAATATACCTATCCTAACTATAGGCGAGCTATTCTCTATATATATTAGTAAGTTAGGCCTTTATTAGGCCTAACTTAGTATAGAATAATAGGCAAGTAATTCTACCCTATTATTACACTACCCCCTTCTATAAAGAAAGGATAGTCCCTATCCTTAAGATTAGGTTTAGATCCCTTATTAAAGAAAAGCTTTTTACAAAATAAATCTACCTTTACCTCTACCTTTACCTTTACTTCTTCTTCCTAGGTATAGACCTCTATCCCTAGCCTATATATAACTAGCCCTCTACCTACTAACTTTCTTATTCTTATATCCCCTATTTTTTAATTATTTAACCTAATCTATCTAAAATCTAGTAAGTATTTAATCTATATAATTAAGTAGTTACTAATCTAAATTAGAACCTTTAGCTATACTAGTACTAGTACTACTAGGAGTCCTCTCTATTACTTATTACGCTCTCTATATAAGGGTAGTTAGGGCTCTAGCTAGGGGTAGGTTTAATAATTTTAATTTTAAGTTAAAGAATTCTAAGAAGTACTAGTACTATATCTCCTAGAATAAGTATTGCAATCTAGTAAGTATCTAAGTCTAATAGGGTTCCTTTACTAATTCTAGTAGATTCCTTCTTTTATTAGCTAAGAGTACTCTGCCCTTAGGGGTGCCCTAGAAGAGTACTATAGCCTAATAGGAAACCCTGCTAAAGGGGATAAGGATAAAGAGGCTATAGTTACTTATTAGAAGGATATTAAGTAGTTTAAGGCTACTATTTAAGAAACTGCCTAAAACCTAGCTAAGTGCGTTACTATTACTAATACTTAGACTAAGGGTATAGAAGCTACTAAAATCCTTATAGCTATATATTATACTACTATATCTAATTTATATTAGCTTTAGAATAGTATTTATAAGATAGTCTTAGTAGTTAGGGGCTTAATAAGGGCTATTAATAAACTTAAAGAGGAAATAGCACTAAATTAGGAGGCAACCTTTATAGTATAGGCTAAGATAAAGGCGTTCTATAAGAAGGAGTCTAAATTAGTCCTAGCTCCTACCCCTACTCCTACACCTGCTCCTATACTAGTTACACTAGTTATCTAGAAGCTAGTTAAGAAAGGTGGTCTAGGTACTATCTTAGCTAATATAGAGTCTAAACTAGGTTCTAATAGAGAGATAGATATAGAATAAAGAGGTTTCCTAGGGGTAGTGTCCTAGGAACCTTAAAGGTTCTAGGTTAGTTCTAAATAGGATATAATAATAAATAGTAATAAGAATAATAGTAATAGATAGTAGTTAATAGCCTAATATATAGCTAAATAGGATATAAATTAGTTCTAATATTAGATATAATTATTATAAAGTAATATTAAATTCTCTTTACCTTTTTCCTAGGCTTAAATCTATCTTAGTAAGCTATAAGGGGGGCCTAGCTAATTTAGATACTATTAGTAGAATACCTATAATTTATAGGGAGCACTTATAAAGTTAGAGGTAGGATACTAAATAGAATCTAAATTATATTTAACCTACTTAACCTTATATTTTAGCTTAGATTAATATAATTTACTAGCTAGGATTTCTTCTACCTCTTATTCCTCTATACCTTATATAGGCGTACTAGGGGGTTTTAGAGCCTCTTATCTAGGTAATAGGTCTTAGGGATCTTTATATAGTATATTAGGGGAGAAAATATTATAAATCCTAGAACCTAGTAGTAATTAGAGGCAATACGCGTTTCCTACTTATTCTAATACCTTAAAGGGACCTTCCTATTATTTAAATAGTTTTTAGCTAGGTTATAAAATAGCAAGATTAGTAGTAGATAGATAAATATAGTTACTAACCTTCTAGTTAACTAGATAGTAATTGTAATGTTCTAGTTATAGGCAATAGTATTTGCTTCACACTAGATAGAATAGTGTAGAGATAGCTATTGGTATAGTATTAACACGAGAATAATACTTGTCTTTTCTAAGCCCTACGCAAAGCGCAGGTTTTGCATAGCTTAGGCGCTAAGACACTAAACCTAGCTAGGGATGCACCTAATTAACTAGAATACTATAAGGTATCTTTACGATAGGGTTGTTATAGAATCTCCCCCTCTAGCTATAGTCCCTAGCAGCAACCTATAGCCTTAATAAAAACCTTACCCTCTAGGGAAGGAAAAGAGTATCTATAGTTTAACCTATAGATATGCTGCACAAGCGTTCCTTCTACGTGTTATATATATTGTAGGCGCATAGTGCTTGCGCGTTATTATACTATAGTATAGAAAGTTAACTATTTACTTATTACTTAGTTAAGGCT